TTGAAATGTTAATTATATTTTAAAATGACAAAAAACTAATTAACAATTAATATTAACCTAATAATTAACAAAAAAATAAAAAATAAAAAATTAATTAACAAATTAACAATTCATATTAACATAACAATTAACAAAAACAATAAAAAAAACAACAAATTAACAATTAATTAACAAAATTTTGACATACGAATTAATAAAAAATAAATAAAAATTAAAAAATCTACCTAATAACTAACCAGATTAATCTAATTAAAAAAAATTAAAGATCCAAAGAGAGAGTACAAATTACGAAAGGAGAGAAGGGATAAGAGAGATTAATGACGAATCTTGGGGAGAAAGTTGCTCCTTGCAAGACTAATTGGGGTGGGGAGGGAGTGGAGTGGTATGGGGCGGTGGTTCGTGGTCGTTAGGGGTGGCGGTAGTGATGGGGGAGAGGAGAAAGAGAGGGAAAGGAGTGAAATAGGGCAAGGAAAGAGAAAGAGTCTAGAAGTTAAAGAGGTTTTAGGATTAACGATATACAAGTGTCCGTCGCTAGTCCATCATTAATTAGCAATAAAAATAAGTATCCATCATTAATTTAAATTTTAAATGTTCACTTGAATTGTCGAAGGATTGAGAAGTTTATCAAATTTACGATGGACACATTTACCGTCGCTAATCAATGACGAAATAGTCGTATCCATCATTGATTTCAATTTTCTACCATTGTCAATTTTATTTACAAATTTTCACAAATTTTGTTAATTACCGACGGTATGCTATTTGTCGCTATATGGATAGTGATGTATAAGCTCCGTCACTTGGCTAACATCTTGCGTTTAGCGATGAAATTTGTATTCCATCGCTAAATTCTCTCACAAGGCCATCGCCAATCCATTATTGCATGCCCAATATTGACGAAACTATTCTATCGTTAATTTTTTGTCGCGAAGCCATTTCGATCCATCGCTATATAATTGATTTTAGATTTCATCGCTACTCGCTCGCTATTAAGTAGGTAAATGACGATGGAATGAATCCATCGCTAAATTTCATCGTTAATTACATATTTTCTTGTAGTGTATGTTCAATCATCAATCAAGCACATAACGTCATATCTTATGATGTAGTTGTGATTAGACTTATGTTAAGGTTTAATTGTTATTAAAAGTACCCTAGAAGCTCTCAAAATCAACTCTTTTTTCCTTGCTATTGCTCTCGGCTAAACTACCCAATTCCTTTCTCTCTCTCGGCCAAACACTCTTCCTCCTTTCCTCTCGGCCAATATTGATCTCTTAGTGAATTTAGTTTCCTTTCTTGTTAAGTCTACATTTTTCAAAGCTAAATTATCACTAAAATTGTTTAGAAGTTCTTCCCTTTGTTCTTCTTCTCTTTGGTGACTTAGGATGATCAAGGAACTTAAGATTTTGCCACTTGTATATACACTTGTATGGCTACTTAATTAAAAAAATTTCTAGATCAATTACTTAATCAAGTTGTTATCTTAAGTTAGCATATATATATATATATATGAGACACCATTCAAGTTTTATTTTTATGTTATAACATGTACGGATAAATTGATTAAGCCTTATTTCTAAGTTCTCCAAGTTTGCATAACTTAACATATTAGTCATTATACTTGGTCACTTAAATCAATTAAACTCTCAATTTTTTAATTGTTACAATAAAGTCCCTTAATCACTCACACACTTATAACATATTACAACATAATCTTGCAAAGCCCAACATTCACCAATACAACATAAAACACAATTATCAAGGTAAACACAAAGCATGATACCAATACAAATACAAAGCATAATTTTTACAAAACACAACATACACATACTTTAAACAAGTGAACACACATATCATTGCAAAAGTATGTTCAAGCCCGCAGGTATTACACGACATCTTCCTGCCTTCACAATCCTAAAAGGCCTATTTAACCTCCTCTAAAGTAGCTATTTTTCAATTCTAAAGCAGAAACAGAACTAAGTTTTTGAAAATATCAGTATTCATAAATGTCCTAGTCCAAGAATCATTAGAAAAGAGATTGAAAAAGAAATTACCTACTTCTAATTTAATCTCTCCTAGGTCAGATAGCACACTGTCACCCACTATCATCTTCAAAATTAATTTTTTCCTATTTCTAATCGAAGGTGTCAAGTGGAAAAATCTAGTATTCTATTACTAAGCTTATACTAGGTAGCTCAATTTCTACCTCCATAGCGATTCATGCCTTCTACTTACATCCCTTAAATCAACTTGATAAGCATGCAGATTCTCCAACTCATCTTGTCGTAACGGTCGATTTTTCATGATCAATTCCAAATAATTTACTTTGCTCTCAAGTCTTAAAGCTGCACATCTAAAGTGCTAAACTTTGCAAAATTTTAGTCCCTAAGCTGTCATTTCAAGAAGCTCAGTTTGTTAGTCACACTGAACCGATTAGAATACAAGCAACAGGATTGCCCCCACATGCTTTGAAGAGAATCAATAAACTGAGGATGAGACCACTCAAAATCTAGATATTTTAACGGCCTCCAAAACCATTGAGTACCATCCGAACCTAAAAGTATCGGACAATGATCTAACAATCCTCTACTGAGGCTTATATGCTTAACATTCAAAAAAACACAACATCCAATCAGAACTAGCAAACGTACTATCAATACGGCTCATGAGAATCAGCTTTTACCATGTAAATCTTTGGCTAGTCAGCAAAAACTCAACCAAATTACAAGTATTTAGAAAATTCTCAAAAGCTCAAGCTCCACTGCTATTCACTCTACCACTACCTCTGTCTGAAGCACATAGTGTTTCATTAAAATCATCAATCACAAACCCTAGTACATAAAAAGCCGGATTAAAAACTTCAAGTTATTTCGCATCTAGTTTCCTTTCTGAAAGATCAAAATATGCATACACTGACTATTACACTATGAAAATTTATAGACACAAAGCATCCGACCAAAGCAATCCAATTGCTACTATAATTCTATAAAATGTTATACGAACTGTAATCCACTCACAAAATCTAAACAACCCTTGACCATATGAGAAAGGGTTTTATTTGTGTTTTCTATTGCACAAGTATTGTTAATTGATAAAGTGATGGACATTTCATAGAGGAACAAAGGTAGCTAATCAGGGGAAAGATGGCTAATGCATTGGTAGATTAATAACGGTTACTTTGGATTTGAATTTTTTTATACAATTATTGTTGGTTGAGCAGAGATGGTAGCGTTAAAGGTTTTATAGCGGTTACGCGCATGTATATAAATGAGAGAGAGAGAGAGAGTTTATCTCAATATGTAGAGGAAACCCATTGCTATTAGTGTGCAATATGGCAATAGGTTAAAGAAGGCAATAATTACAAGTATATGAAGTGTACAACCTCTATTAGCAACTCAATTACATATAGCACTACAGGTATCCAAGATCCAGAATTAAGAGAAGAAACACCTGACATAATAGTCCATGAGACTTTGGACTACATAATGCTTTCCGTTCCATATCCCTTGTACCTTTTTCTTTTCTTTTTTTTTTTAAAGTTTAATGGAAGGCTTCATGGATCTTATAGTCTATACACAAAGGGTAAATATCTTGTATCCCTAAATCTCATCGCACCTTTCATAGAATTTGAACTTTCGTAACCGTGGGTTGAGTTATGCCTTTGAGATATCTTTTGTTGTTTTTTAGCATTTTTCTTTTTATATGTTTACAAGTTGTTGGATAAAAGTATTATTATTTTTTTAATATTTACAAGTAGTCAGCTATGTGGGGATTCATTTCATACCTTTGTAATTAGTTCACAATTTGAAACTGATTGTGTTAGATCATACAACGTTTTGAATTGACAATCCACGTTTGTTTATTTAGAAAGGCTAGAAATTTCACAAAATATACAAGGATAGGTCTTGAATCCAAGATCTTTCATTGGTTATTGACCAAACTGTTACCTCTTTTGCTAACTATTATGGGTACTTTACCATTTAAGCTTACGAGCAATCATTCTCATTGCTTCAAGTTGTTAAGTAGCGATAGGTTATTAACTATACCACCATAAGAATGCATTTAGAGAAGAGAATTTTTTTCATCAGTGAACTGAGATCAGTATTGAAAGAAATTGATTTTGGATCGAAACTCAGCCTCATATTCATGGAGTTTAACTTAAACATCTTAAGGGGTTCTATAACTGGTTTCGCAAAGTTATATGCAAGCTTTCCATTTTTTCGCCACTGTTTGCTTTAAAGATAAAAAGGTTCGCCATTCTTTTTCTAATTTCTAATGATCTAACAAAAAGCTGACAAAATTTCTTTCTGCTACTCGTTTTCTGTAATTATATTGAGTTTTGGAAGCTTCCTGTGACACAAGAGGAAAAAAGTTTAAAACAAAACATAAGTGAAAAGAAGGCAAAGAAAGACATCATAATCAAATGCTAATAGATTTCCCTTTCTTTTTTCTCTAATACATCGGCATTGCAAACCCAACATGTAGAGGAAGCTCCCACTTCTTGATGCAGCTTAATACCAATTTAAGTTGATCTTGAAACCTGTAGCAAAAGTCCAGTGCTATTGTAATGAGTTCTTTGAGGTATGTTTCATGAAGTATCCAAGAGAAGAAAAGAATATATAAGAGGGAGACAGAGTGTAGGAACTCTCATTACATAATATAAAATACATTAATGGACTGCTAAACTGTGCTTAGAAACCCTAATGACAACCTTAAACTAATATTTTAGTGGAATTGCTAACTGTAAACAGTACTTTTCAACCTTGTGTAATCTGGAACTGAATAAAGAAAAAATAAAATTTTCCCACCAAGTGGTTCTTTTTATTTATACAAAATGAAGTCTGAAATGAAGCGGAGAGAGAGAGTTTTCATGGAATTCCAAAAATCTCTCCTACCTAAATTAACCAAAAAATGGTAAGTGAATAATCAACTAAGTTTGAACATGAAAAAAGGGTTAGTAATTAAATGAATAAACTAAACGGTTGCTTCAAAGCAAAGCTTCAACCAGAGGAAGACACTACAACTGAAGTAAAGATGAAGGAGAAGAGAGAAGCAGAAGAGAAGGAAGAAATATTAGAAGAATTAAACTGTGATGTTCAGAAGTTCAAATTGACTTTGGAAGCCGCTCAAACACCCACAGAGCTGTTGGCTACAAGTGCATAAATAGTTATACTCCAGAGATGATTACCAGGAAATAGCTTTCACCATGATGCAAGCTTTGCATTAGAAACCCAAATTCATTAGTGGGTACAGGCACCCCTGAGGAATGGATCAACACTACATCTTGACCAAACATTGCTTTCATGTCAAGTGGCCCCCTAGGAACTTCTGTGGGAACCCCATTGATGAAAACTGTGATGAATCCTGAACAACAGCATAGAGAGAATAGTTTTAGAAGAAAATTTAACTCATCCATTCCCAGCTTTCGTTGCTCCATTTTAGCAATTAACTGAGTACATGATGATATTTTTCTGTTTACCCCTTTTTTTTTAGTTCAAAAAAACAAGGAAGAAAATCAAGCAAATTTAGAATAGAAAATTGAGAAAGAGCAGGGAGAAAGAAGAAAGAACGTCAGGTATGCTCCAAAGAAAAGAAGGGAAAGAAAGAAAGTTGAATTTCTGCAATAATTAGGTTCCTAAAAATCTCAATTCTGAGTTGGTGAAATTTCAAAATGGTGCAATCGATCTTAGTGTTGCATAATAGAAAATAAAAAATAAAAAATCGGAAAGGACACTGAAAAATTTTGAAGCCCTCAAAAGTTTAAGATTTCATGTGGAATTTTTCTAGGTACTGTAAGAGAATCAGGAAGGGGGGACCATTGTTTTTCACGGACAAGTACAACAAACTTTCACAGAGTAAAACATACAGCTAGAGTTACATCATTAAAAAGTTGCTATCTAGTTTATTCTGTAGCACTCTTCTGCTCTTAACTTAGATTAAAAAAAAATAAAATTTAAGTACTATACTTGAAATTTAAATAGGGTATCAAAAAAAAAAAAAAAAAAAATTCCACCTCTAAACTGTGAGGGGATAACTTGTGCATATGTTACATGAAGAAAGATCACACCCATCTTCACACAGATTGAAGGAAGGATTTGGACCGAGCTACTTAGGAGACATGGGGTTGGCTCATGTCCAAGGAGGACGAGGGTTCTGATAGAGATAACTAAATTAAAAAAAAAAAAAAAAAAAAAAGGAAAGTGACTCAACCTTGCACTTACCAGCAGTTTGGTAATGCAAATTAGAAGTCTCTGATGGGCATAAAATTGAAGTTACACCAGATGTTTGCTCTATTTCTTGGAAGCCCATTTGATTAGAGAAAGAAAACAGACTCTCTGCTCCATGATCTTCACCAGCAACTCCACAAGAAGAAGAGGAACCAACAAGATAAGAAGATGGGGATTGAACAAATGAAGGAGAATTTGCAAACCCTGTAGAAGTGTGACCACCTTCATATTGAATTGCACCACCTCTAGCTTGTGCCTGTTGATTATTTCTTTGGTCTCCTGCAATAAGACTGGCCTGCATCTGGCGTTGCCGGCGGCGAGATCTTGATCTTCGGTTTTGAAACCAGTAGAAGACATTTGCATCACCAACAGAACCAAATTTTTCAAGAAGTTTCCTTATCCTCACAGTTTCATCTTTTGGTGGGTTTACCATTCCACTGTTGAAGATGGACTCAAGTATCAGTATTTGCTCTGGCTTCGGAGTCCACCTTGACCTCACTGGTTCACTTCTTTCAGTGCCTTGATTGCTTGGACTATTAGGGTCTTGGCCTTGATTATCTTCCATTACTGTGAAATGAAGAAAAGAAATGTTTGTTGATGATACCAAAAACTAGATTTAGAAAAAAAATAACATAGAAGCAAAACAAAGTACATAAACGCAAGGTAGAAAAGCGTTGAGAGGTGAAGCTATATAAAGGGTGGAAGGAATGTTACTTTGAGAATTTACATAATCAACCTTGGTTTGATAGGACTTCAGTGATTGAATTTACAACTTTACCTAGTTTATAAAATGTTATGTTAATCTTTCTCTCCCAAGTCAACCGCCCAACACCTGGCCTGCTTAGTTTATTCGATCATCTAATCACTAGTCAAACAGTAATATTCCAGTGTAATGTTAGTAACAAGGATTTAGAAGCTAATTAAGAAGTAATTAATTGATTACTACAAATGTGTGTTAGATTAATTATATGGTTGATTCAATCACATTACAACATATTAATTAATGAAGAGCTCAAGCAAAACGTCTCATGATAGATCATCCTGTTAATTTGACAATTTTGCCACCAACTTGCAAAGATTTGAAACATGTGGTAGTAGGGTAAAAATTCAAATCCTTGGAAAAGCTCCACAAATGGATGTTGGTTGATTACTTATATATATTTTTCCTCATAAATGGTATTAATCCCGAATTCTACTAGAAGGGTTAATAATAAATTAAATGATTGGTTATAAATTATAATCCTTTAGATAGATTATTATGTGGTCTTGTTTGTTTGTCTAAATATATATTTAAGTTAACAAATTTAAAATTTAATAAATAGATCGTCCCTTAATTAATTTGGGGATGTATTGATTCACTTTGATCACATCCGTAGTCTGGTGAAACATTTGGAAATCTTCCCTTTTCTCTGATTAGTATTAACTAATAATCGAGGTTGCATGGGAAAAACTCTCAAAGGAGTGGTCAAAATGGTAATGTGAAAGGTGGACAAGCTAAGTTGGCTAGGGTTTTTTTTTTGGCTTGGCAAGTGCATGTGCAGGCATGCATGGAAAGTTGAGTCTAGAGAATTTTTAATTGGAAAAATGAGAGAAAGAATCCAAATAGACGGTCAAGAACCGTGCAATAATTTATTAACAATGACGTATAAGGAAACATGGCTTACTGAGTCCTTTCCTTCACTCTCCTCTCTTGATCTATCATTTTTATATTAAACGAGAGGAAGGAAAGGGGTCATCAAGGTTGGCATATACATCGAACACTTTTTTACGTGTATCTATATGTCTACAACATGTAATACTTTATATTCATATTCTATTACTGCATTTACATTGAAAGAAAACTGCCGGAACCGACTACTACTGCTGTTTCAGACGGGGTTTCCTCGTTCCTGTAGGCTTTGCCTTCGTTTATAAGAATTCTAGTATTCTACTTACCTCACATATATCTATATTAATCGGATTGTAAATTATTGAGGATAACTAGCTTGGTGTAATTTCTACTTATCAAAAGCAGATGGTAATTGATGGGAAAATTCTCATACCAATGCTGTTTATGAATGTACCTTACATAAGTACGGAGTACCTTCTGTATCTTTTTAAATTTCATTTTATAGCTTTATTTATGTGCAGCAAGTTTCCGGGTGTCTCTATGGGTGTGCCTTGTTTTTCATGGAAATTTTGTATACTTCAATTCACCATGCTATTTGTTGAGGAATAGTTTTCTAATCCCGGCGGACTGGTTGGTCATTGACGATCGATTTGTTCTTGCGTCAATAATTAACCAACAAGTGGATATATTATTAATATTATTTAAACAATTACTTTCAAATAATTATCTCAATTCAAAAATTTAAGATTAAACGGTTGGATGAAATATTATAATATGATTTATATTATATCAACTCACGGTTACGATCCTTTGTCCTTTGATAAGTTTATTGTAGATATATTACTTTTTTTCTTCTTCCTAATCATATCTTAAAACTTTATATATATTCACTCGAATTTAAAAAACTTAATAATTTTGATGGTTTAATTAGAAACCAAATCTAATTAGATTCAAATTAATCAATCCAATTGACTAGGATAAGCACCGAAAGATTTTGAGGTATTGATGTGTTGTGGTTTGACTTGTCCAAGTGAAATTAAGATACATGGCACATATAAGTGCCGATAAGAGTTTGATGATCTGTAGCATTTGATGAAAGTTTCTTTGCATTGTGTACATACAAAACAAGTCTCTTTGATTGGATGGAGACCGTATGACGCTTAAGTTTTTAGTCGAAAGATGACAAATTGACTTGAAAAAGCTCTTTTATGCTATTATGTACATTTTTTTGTATAATTTTATAAAAGAGAGGGAGTTGTGAAAGATGCAAAACTTGTGTCAAGAGAATTTTCCTGAATTGGACTTCTATGATTTAGAATGTTCAAATTCTAAAGTGAAATCACTTATTTTGTTGTGGTTTGGGTTTTTATATAGGTAATTGTGGGTGCAACTTGCATGGTAAAATATATAGAATTATCTTTTATTATATATGTATATATATTGTAGTAGATGAGCTAACAAGTATTAATACTCTACTATTATTGTATTTAATCTATAATGATGCTAATATAATTATGATGAGTGGTGATCCGATTGATGTCATTATTAAATATTCTTCATCAAATGCCTTTTCCTTGGGTAATGGTGGAGGAGTGTAGTGTTTTTATAGGCCAGGACGCCCTAGGATAGGAGAATTCCAAAGCTCTTCTTAGGGGGTGGCCTTTCTTATGAGGTGTTAACATCTTTAAAGGGACTTTAGGCCAATTTAATGGGCTAGTTCCTTTTGGTGAACTATGGTCTTAAGTTAGGCCTAATGGATTTTAGACTTGTGGGCTCATGTTCATTTTTATGGGGCTATACTAGGTTAAGGCTTTCCATTTTTACTCTCTCCCTAAGTCTTGACTAGTCTTCTTAGCTTAGACCTAAAAACCATTAGCTATGGCATTTCAAGGGCCATATTTCCTTATTGAGAGAGACTATCCGTGTTCTTTTTGTTGGCTTTGCTTGGTTAGTAATCTTTTCCTTATGAGTCCCAATGCTTTGAATTTGGTGGCTTTGAGTGAAGGAAGGAAAATTGATCGAACACTAAGTGCCTCTATTATCATGAGTGATAGCATCTTTTTATGTTTTCCATAAGAGTAATAATTATTCTCATTAAGAGTCTATGTGTTTTATTTATTGCTTTATGTGGCATTGGCATGTTAGTGCGAGGCTATCTCTTAGATTTAATGTGTTATAATTAAAGGAAAAAGGCACTCTTTAACTATATACGGGCCTTATTGTTAGAGTCTTCTTTTGTTTTTACGAGCTTCATACTTTACTATGCAAAATCTTTGACGGGTCGTTTGACATTCTCTTGATTTTTTTAAGGGATTTTTTTTTATTTTGTTTTTTTTTTCCTTATTCCTATACGCATTCTTTTGGTTTCAAAAGGATTTATCTTTGGTGGAATACTTATTCATTTTAAATCTATATTTTTCGATAATCTTTGTTCTTTTTTATTCTTTTTATTAGGTAGAAAGTTTTAGAGAGCTAGAGGTATGTCTAGGATTGTGCCTAGTTAAGCCGTGAGTGGAGGTTCTAGTTCTATTGTAGACGAGTTTTCTTTCACTATGGGAGGCGAAGTTATGTGTCGGGACTATCTATATTCGTTTCGTCGAGGGACAATTTCCTTCGTTTTGGCCAATCCTAAAGATAGAACGAATAGATTCCCTTCTAGCATGACTAAGGAGAACCTAGATATGTTTTCCTCTAAATGCATACTAGAGTATGATTTTATATTTTTTGCCATTGGCTTTGTGGTAGAGGTATTTGATTACTTTTGCTTGAGAATGAGCCGATTCATTTGAATAGGTAGACTATTTTTGTACCTTTTCCTTTTTTTTTTTTTTTGAATTCTTGGGATCCTTTATATTCTTAGGCTTTTTACATACTTTTAGTGTTTGGTTTATGAAGATGGTGAGGCGGGAAGAAAGACTCGAGTGTATACTTTTATGGCTCATGTTTTGAGCCTATTTAAAAGACTATTTATGGAGGCCCTCCGACTTAGTAGATAATTAGAGAGAGAAGTAGTTTATCGCTTGATATCAAGGGGCAACTCTTCAAGGTTTGGTTGGAGAATTTGAAGATGTCTTCTTCGTGGAGGTCTCCTAGGAGTAATGCTAACAATTTCACTCTTTAATCGAGTATTAAATTAGCCTTTTAGGATTTAGTGAAGGACAACGAAAGGAAATATAGGGTAGACCAATTGACTAGAAAGCGGTTCTCGATCTATAGCTATTTAGATGGATAACTAGATGTTAATTTCATTTTACTTGTATTTTATGCCATCACTTCTTATCTCCGACATTATTTGACTTTACAATAGACTTGCTACTTGAGGGAGGCGATAATCCCAATTGGTTTATCATGGAACCTTTTATACCTTGTGTAGAGGAGAATGCTACCGATGATGAGGGTCCATCTTTTTGCCAATCCTTACCCCAAGGATCAAGCCTCGTCGTTAGGGAGAAATTACTCGTTACGGATGCGATCGACCAATTGGTCGAAAGGTACAAGTTGGCCTTTAGTGTTGGCAAGATAGGGAGCTCTTCCGTATTTCCCTTAGAGAAAAAGGTTGATCCCCTACCATTAAGAAGGTTATGCAACTAATAGTGAACTTAGAAGATGAGGCTTTTTAGAATATAGAGGGCATTATAAGGGGCGATAACTTCTTTTACTCCTATTCATCATCTAGGAGGTGAGAAATGATGGCGTTCTTATAGTGGTTCGATCTCATTTCGACTCAATGTCCGAGAGAGGAAATAATTTAGACTTTTATGTTTGAGCCAACTCAAATGCCATATGGTGTCTTTTTTCCCTCTCTATCTAAAGAGCATTTTTTTCTATGACATTATTTATTTAGTGATCTTGTTTTCTTAAAAGGATAAAAAAGAGGAGTCTTTCTTATGTTTTGAGGGAAATCTCTCTACTTGTGGTCGATGTGGTGCCTTAAGGTAATCGCTCTTTAACTAAAG